CCCAGCTGCCCTCTCATCACAGGGCCTGCTGGGATCCTGCCTGCCTCTCTTCCCCTCTAGCCTCTCCTCTGAGCTGCTGACAGTTGCGTCAACCACCAACACGTTCCTGTTACTTCCTCTAGCATCCAAGTGAAGAGACAATGAAGAGGTAGTATTGCAGCCACTGAAGGTGGAGAAAGAAGCAGTTTCACTACAGATGGATGATGTGTTTAAGCCTGGAACACATGATAAATGTATGCAATGGAACTTTATAAATCCCACAAGCATGCCAAAATATTTACAAAGAAAATGTCCAATCCTCTCTCCTGAGAAAGTCCTGCAGAACCAAGAATGTCCATGGGTCCTTATGATATTCTGGCAAAGCCTCAGTGTGTTCCAACTGCTCGGGCTACAATTCAGTAGTGGAAAGAAGAAAGACAGGCAGGAAGAAAGGGATGGAGGAAGAGAGGAAGGAGAAAACAAACCCAAGATTCTGGCACACCAGTAGTGCTCCACCACAGCTGTGTGTTGAAATATCCTGGGTGAAAAAATACTTACTGGTGATAAAATACACTGGTGATAAAGTCCCCAGTGAGTCTATTGTGCAATCAGCTTTGAGATTCAATACAATGCAGTAGCATATGCTATTAAATAGTGACTCAAGCATATTTAATTACTCAAGAAGAGTGGCCACTCAAAAGGATTTTAGTTAAGAATTGTTACCAAAAAGCTTACCAGCTCTTCTTATGGCAGAGGTCTAAGAGGCTAGAATGCTTCCTGAGAATTCTCTCTATCCTTGGGGTTAGTGCTGCCATGTTTTGGAATCCTGAATCCCATGTCTCTGAGGGCTGCTGCATAGGAGCCCCACGCTATGTCATTCTCTTTCTCTCTCATTCTTCTAAAATTATTGCCAGATCAATGCTTCAATCTTAATATAGTCAAACCTCTTCTCGTAATAATAAAATAGACACTGTGGCTTTTAGCATCCATAGATCATTTCCACATCTCTTATTAGCTAGAGGTTCATGTGTTCACTACATCAAAACTTTTATAACTGCTGGCCAGTTGAAAAACACCCGAGGCAGTGTGATAAACCAGAAAGAGCAGTGCACTGAGGATCTCAGGGCCTTGAATCAAGTCACAGATTTGCCCAGGCCTGAAAGCAAATCATATAACCTTCTAAGCCTCTGTTTCCTTAAATGTAAAGTGAAAAAAATTGGATAATATCTAATATCTACTGTGACTCTGAAATGCCACACTGTGTACTATTTTCTCATCCACTTTTAGCAATGATACTAATGAACAGTAACAGATGAGAAAGTTAAGCACAGAGGAGAAGCATGAGAAGAAGCTAATGGTCTGGATGAGCTACAAGTTGACAAATTTGCTCAGAAAGCATCAAACGTATCCTTACAAGTTGCCTTTTTAAAAGACTGCAATGAAATCGTGTGGCAGTAAAATTTGGAGGGTTACACATCCCGCTACAGGTCTTTGTGAAGAGACCACTCTCATTCCTCTCACACTGTGAAAATCACCCTTGCAAAATGAGAAAGCAATGATCTGACTCTCTAGTTGTTCAGCTGACACTGAAGAGAGAGAAAATGGTGATGTTTAAAAAAACAATGCCTCTAATATGCCAGGAAAGTTTTAAAAGATTCAAACCCCAAGTGCAGTTCACTGTCCCTTTACAATAGCTCTTGCACCCACCTCTCTCCATTCCTTCCTTTCCAACTACCGTGACCACCTCCTCACACACCCTCCTTCTTAAGACCACCCTGCATATGCCCACTGCATGTATCTTTATGCCTCTTGATATATGTATGACTTGGCTACTCCAAAAAAGGTTTAAGACTCCATATTTCCTTCACTAAGTCTAAATGGCACTCCCAGATCTGTACACTGTGGCTATTGATTTATCTTTCTTCTCACTTTTCCCCAACGCATTTATTCCAGCCGAGTCTGGTCTGCTGCTTATTGTCCATCCCTCAACGATGCCCCGTGGAGGCCTCTGCTCGCCTTTGCTCATGCAGCCCCCCATGTGCAACGGCCTCCCTCACTTTCTCCTGTATAGACCAGTCTTGGCCATTCTTGGAATCTGAGCCAACTCACATTTCATCTCTTCTGAGAAGCACTCATGCTGGCCTATAATGATCTTCTCTTTTTCCAACTCTACTAAGCAGCACTTACATATATTTTTTTGTATTGTCTACTGTGTTTTGTTTATTGCATGTTTTCCAGACTGCATGCTTTTGAAGGACAATGTATTAAATGCTTCTATTTATTTTTCAGCCTCCCATCCTTTTTTCCTCCTCCCCCACCTCCTCCCTTCTTCCCTTCCTTCCTTCTTTTCTTCCTCCCTTCCTCTCTTCCTCCCTTTCACTTTCCTGTAGTTTACACAGCAAAATTTGGGGAAATCAGTAAGATCAGTAGCCACTTTATAAATAGAATGATAGCAGATTTTGGTCAGTGGAGCCCTTGATGCTTCTCTTTTACACAGCCTGGTCACTGGGACATGCAAGTTCTCACGTGTCCCTTAGCTTTTATCTTGGCAGCTTCCTTTGTGAGAATACTTAGTGTTACAAGGTCATATAACCAAGTTTTGGTGCTACTTTTAAACTTTATGTATAAGTTTCCCCAAAGCACAGAAATGACTTAAGAAAGATGAACAAATTGAAGGGGAAAAGTACTTCAGTAATTAAACTACTTAATTTATTTCGATTATGTGTTAAGTCATGTCCTCTTCATTTAGAGAGTTAGTGATAGTAGAATTGCAAACCACTAGATGGAAGAGGGATCTCACCTTACGATTCTATAGATGAGTCTGTTGAGGCCCAGGCAGAGACACTGAGTGTAAATGAAACGCTGCCTTTTGCAAAGCAGTTTGCTTCCTTCTCCTTCCAGCTGCACCTCTTCAGAAAGGGATTCCTCTCCTTCTGCTACACCCTTCCCAGTTAAGTCCTTTTTGTTTCTAAAAGGTGTCTGTAAATAAAATGCAGCACTATATAGGGACCCAAAACTGGGCAAGAAGATCAGCCAATGGAGACCCTTTCAATATGAAATCCTTTTATTTTTGCTTCTAGAACAGAATAATTTTCTAGAAGTGGTAGAACTCTAAACCTTGGTAAAGAGAGAAAATTTTTTTCTGGGCGTGAAGGACAGAAAGGGTGAGTTGCATGAGTTAAGGATTTAGTTACGCAAATGGTGATTTTGTTTGTTTTTTAGTCCATTGCAAGGCAGAGTCTGAAGACAAGCAAAAGTGGGCCCGAGCCAGAGTGCTACAGAACCCCTAGTCAGGCCTGGCAAGGGGTTAGGAGGCTGCATGGCCTTGCTTGCTTCTCTCCTACCCTACATGGAATGGAGCTGCATTGGTGAGAAACTCACCTGCAGCGTCAGGGACAACACACTCAAATTCACACTGGAATTCCAGAACACTCTGGAATAACCTCCCTCCTCATCTGCACCATCTTGGTACACAGTGAAAGGAAGAGTGGGACTTTGCCCTCCTCAGATCAATCGTCCTGCCTTTGAAACCTAAGCCCAAGGCTGCTGTGCTTCAAATGTGGTCCTGGATCACCTAGCAACCCTTTCCCCCCACCCCATCTCCTTCATTTCTATTTTGGGGTGAAGGTGGTAAGAAGAGGAAAAGGAAACTTTTTTGTCCTAAAATTGCAATCCAAACTGCGCTTTTTTCATTCTTTAAAGCCTAGAAATCAATTGCAATTCTACTCCCTTGCCTCCACATGTTTTTCTTCTGTAAGAGCTTTGCGTTTCTATAATAGACGTAGGAACTAGCCTTGCCTCGCCTATTCTGTTGGAGCAGCTGCCTAGCGTCTCATTCTTGGAGAAGTGAATTTACTTCTCTGGACTTTAGGTTTCCCAACTGTTCAATAAAAGGGTTGATGGATGATGCCTAAATTCTTATTCCCCTTAAACGCAGTGCGGGTCTGGGAGCCCCACTGCTTTTGACGTTTGCGCTTGAGTGTCCAGCACAAAGATGGTGAAAGGTGAAGGATCCAGGATCTCTCCAATGGAGAGTTAACGCGGAGGTCGAGGCTCACTCGGGTATCAGGTCTGCAGCCTCCCCTGGCCTCGAAACTACCCTTCTCCAAGATTTCCGGAGTGGGATGCTGCGGAGGGGTCTCCTGTCTTTATTCCACTTCTCCAACACCCGGGCTGCACACTTCCCGTCGCTCTTCAGGACACCTAGCTGTACTCTACACCATCCCCAACCCGGAGTAAGCCGGACCTCTACACCTGGTTCCGTCTATCACAGCCTTGTCGCTGGTCCCTCGAGGTCCCCATTACTTCGCAACCCCAGAAATCCTCCCAGCAGTACCAAGCACACTTTGCACCCCTTGCCCGCGGCTCTGCGAGCTTGGCGCGGCGGCGGAGTCGGGCGCTCTCCCCGGCGTCCCGGGCCGCGCCGCACTCCCCGCCCCAGCCTTTCGCGTTCGCAGCCCCTCGCCCCGCCCCAGGACCCTGCCACCGCCTTCCCCTCTAAACTCCCCGGCGCTCTCCGGGCGCACTCCCTGCATCCATCCACCCGGGGAGAACCGTTCCTCCCCCCGCCCCGCTCCACCCCCAACCTCCCAGTCGAAGCGAGAGCCAGTCAGTGTGCAGGGCGCCTGGCACCGCCGAGCCGCCCGGACCGGCCCTCCGCTGGGCGGGGGCAGGAAGAGGCGCCCGGCCTCGCGGGGCTCCGGGGCTCGGCTGGCCAGGCGCGCTCAGCTCTGCCAGGCGGCCGCCGGGCGGGATCGGATCCGGACAGCAGCAGCCTCGCGCGGGAACCGGGCACCCAAGCGCCCGAGCCGCCGCCTCTGGCCCGCGGGCGCCCTCCGCTCTCAGCCCGAGTCGCGGCTCGAGCCGAAGTCCCGGGCGCGGCTGGAGCCCGCACGGCGTGCCCGAGCGCCAGCGGCCCCGCACACTCCTTCCCGGCCCCCTCCGAGGAAGGGCGCGCGGGGGCCGGAGAGGCGCCTCCCGTCCGCCCGCCCCCTCCTCCCCGCCCGCCCACCGGCCCGAGCGGCGCGGCGCTGCCTGCGCCCGGACTCCGGGAGGGGAGCGCCGCCGCGCTTGTCCCCGGCAGCCTCGGTCCTGCCCCCCGAAGTGGAGATGCGCGAGCGGCAGGCGAGGGCGCGCAGCTCGTGAGAAGCCGCGCCAGCCGGCACCATGCGCCTGCGGCCGCTGCCCCTCGTGGTGGTCCCCGGCTTGCTGCAGCTGGTGAGTGCCCGGCCGCCGCGCCGCGCGCTGGGGACGCGTTTCGGCGGGAAAACCGCGCCCGCCGCCGCCTCGGGAGCTGAGCCCGGGGCTGCTCGGGCAGTGGGGCTAGGGGCGCGCGGAGTGGAAGGAGTTGGGGGCTGCCTTAGAGGTTGAAGGGGGAAAACTGAGAAATGGAATAGAGGGACGTAGAGGCGGCGAAGGGCTCGGCAAGGCTTGGGACGAGGGCTTGGGTAAAGTGGGCAGGAGGGAGCGGGGAGGAAGGTGCGGGAGAAGGGAGAGCAGGTTTATGGATAAGCGGTCCAGGAGAGGATGGGAGTACGTGGATGTGGTGAGGATAGGCTGAAACACCTTTTTGGTGGTTTTTATTTTCCACGCGGTGCTTTGCTCAGATGCCCACAAACACTTCTTCCAAAGCAGAGCATCCTGCATCCGCGTTCGCAGGGCCAGGTAGTGGCGCCTTGCTGGGGGAAAACTCAAGGCAAACGGCCGATTTTAGGCACAGCTTGGGTTTCTCTTCGTTTCCCGTCTGGCGCTGGGGACCGGGATAGGGTTTTCTGGCAGTTGGAGATGCAGGATGTAACTTTCACGCCCAACTCCACGAGGAGACCCCTCCTGGGCATCTCTAAGCAGTTTTTTCTGGGAGATCTCTCCCGCCCGGGGCACTGGGGAGCTTGAAGGGTATTCAAAGGTGGCTCACGGTGTGCGCCTTGTGACTCTCTCAGCTCTCCCCGCCAGGTGCCACGCTCTCCTGGCTCTCAGTGTATACCTATAAACTGTATGCATTGGTAGTGAATTATATTTAAGGGAGATCCAAAGTGAGACTTTCCAGAAGGAACTTTTAAAGTAAAATTATAGACGGGAAATGCTTTGGCTTTGTCCGCCTCTGTGGTGGATTTCTCCTGGTCACTTGGCACCTTCCTGATGCAGTGCTCTTATTAAGAGGGCTTTCTCTTGATGCCAGGGTTTCTTTGGTCCTCATACTTAAGACTTTGCCCAAGCACTTAGGCAAAAATGACAGTCTAGTCTCTCTCTGTCTGTCTCTCATCCCCTCTCTACCCCCTTCCTTCTCTTTTCTTTTTAGAGGGAAAATCAAGTAACTTATGAAAGTTTCCCTATGATGTGCATGGCATTGTAGAACCAGAGGCACTTTGCAAGTTTAGAGAAGAGACTCTAGAAGGTAGAAGGGGAGAGGCCACTCAAGGGCCGGTTGTCTATTCTTGTAACAGCAAAGATTAGCTTCACCTCCACAGCGTTAACTCAGAAATTCTTCAGTGGCATCAAGAAGAAAATGCAGTGAATGAGCTAGCACATACTGGCTACAATACTGCATGTTAAAATAAATTTTAGGCATTATAAATCTCAAATATATTCCACATTGATCCTTAATATCAATTGCTTAAAATTTTTGTTGGTCTGGATTCTAATAAGAGGTGATCAAACAAAGCGGCATTTATATGGCATGTGTAAAGGAAGAGCCTGGGAAAATCAGGTACTTATATAGGGTCTTCAGAAGATCTTCATGAATCTTATTTCATTAATTTTGCATTTAATGATCACCAACTGTGTATCTGCTCCACAAACACTGTCTTAGACTCTTAAACAGATGAGGAAATATATTTTAACATGTGTTGGGGAAAAGTTCTCCTATAAACTGCTATATTGGAAATGTTAGATTTTTTTTTTTTCTAGACTCCCATAGTCTATAGGGAATAGGGAATAGGAAATACATCTTGAGGGGATTATCCACCCTCCTTAAGAGCTAGATTCTAACATTACAGCATGGATTGATTGATTAGTTTTTAAGGAAGCTTATGTCAAATTCTAATCCATTTTTGGATTGTGCTTGGGCTGTAATGTTTTTTTCCTGGAGCACTTTATCGCGGTAAGTGAGGTGGGAGTGCAGCCCTGTGATAAGCACACATTTCTTACACTGCCATCCTTTTGGACAATAAAAGGCTGTTTACATTCTCCACATTCTTAGAGCCCTTGCCAGCCTCTTAGCACAGGGGGGTTAGGATGTGATAGGAAAACAGAGTGGCTGAGCAGGGTAAATCTAAACGGAAACATTCCCCAGTCCTACCACAAGGCCCCACCCCAGCAGGTAACAGAAGGGACAGATCATAATTTGCTCCTTTGGATGGCTCATAGTTTTGTTCTACCTCTCTTTTCAGCCGATATTGAACTTCTCTGTTAAATCCTAACAGCAAGTTGATAAAAATGTTTTCTAGATTTGAAACTGGCCTTTTGCTTTCCTAGGAACTATATATACTCAAAAGATCTGCCCTCTGCTGATATAAAGCAAAATAAAAAATAAAAAAAACACGTCTTTTTAAAAAATTTGGGGGTGAGGGATGGAGTTGCATTATTGTGTTGGAATTGGATTTTACTTTTCCATCTTCACTGCCAGCCTGAACAATATGCTTTTTTTAAAATGCTAAATATTTTAAATGAGTAGTGGATTCATTTGGGCATATTGAAAATTTAATTCTGTGAAAATTGCCTGTTTCATCTGAAAGCAATCATAGGAAGTTTAGCCCAAATAAGTCACTAACCACATGATACTGGCACAATAACTAGAATGTTTTTTACTTATTTTTGTGATATTTAAACTTTTAAGAAAGTAATAAGCTGAATTTGATAAATATTTTATGTAGCCTATGAAGAATGTGTATACGTTACCTGTCCTTGCTCAGTTTTTCTGTCCTGTGTCTAGTGCTTTTAACAGACAGGTTCCTTTATTTAATTAATAGGATTACTAAGCATTTGCGAAATTTAAATATTCATCTTGAAAATATTTTTAAAAAATTCTTTTTCAGCAACATATTCTTTATAAGAATATTAATAGTACGTTATTTCTTTTCTGCTATTCTAATGAAGAAAAAAATTAGCATTTGAAATGAATATTGCAACAAAATGAGTGTTGTTTCATGACATGGTACAAGGTAAAGACTTCACCAAATGTCAACTTCTTACAGATTTGCATGATAATTTGTAACTAGTAGTAAGTGTGATTTTTGCCTTTAAGTAAAATGCAGATTGTAAAAAGATGAGATTTTAATTTAAATGGATGATTAGCTAGAGTTTAAGATAACATTTAGTGGTGATTTAAAAAATGTTTGTGACACATTTCAACTTGTTTTCCTGTGATACAGTGCTAAGTTTATAAAATAAAATATAAGCTAAAAGTGATGTAAATTAGAAAATTTTTAGAATCCTATAAAATCAGAATAGTTGTGATGGAAAATGGTAAAAATTTAAGTTCATCCTTGTTCTATAGGATTGTCTCACACAAGTTATTAGGGGTATTTATGTTTATCTTAACAAATTACTAATTTTAATATTTGTTTAGTGTGATATTCATATTTATTCACTGCCCTGTATTTACAAGAAGTGATAACTCATGACTGTCTTCCATTCAAAAATCACAATTTCCCTCATACAGCTTAATCAATAAACATCAAAACAGTGTTTCCCAGTGTAGGATCAATAGCCTGTGTTGGCTAGATAACAATGCGGAGGAGAAAAAAATACCGCCATATCATGGTTATGACTTAAAGTTGGCTGAGCTTTAAAATTACCTTCTCGTTATGAGCGCTATTATCTTAGACATTTTTTAAAATGAGAATTAGGATTAGACAATTCAGTCTTCTGTTCCAGCCACCCACCTTCCAGTAAAAGTTGTGTTCACTTGGCCTATTCTAAGATTATGTTATATGGTCCAGTTTTAAATGGCGACATAGGAAACTGACTGCTCTTGGAAAAATTATTTTATGGTTTAATAGATTTCCAAATGGAAAAGAAAAGCTATCTTAATCTTTGTACTATATTTTTTATTAATTTTCTTTTTTTTAATTTTTTCCGATTAGTGGTCAGAATGCTAAATAAAACAGAGGCTTTTTTGAAAAACCTTTTAGAGGTTTACATTGTCAGCTTAAAATGTGTGTTCTTGCAAATCGAATAAATTAAGAAATGTTTTTTTTTTTTTTTATAATACTTTGCCCACCTTATATCTATTAAAGAGCTAGTCAATGCATCTTGAATGATTTAGTGGTAGCAATCAAAGACAAATACAAACGTGTCACAGGTCATGATTTTGTAAAACCTCTAGGACTGTCTCTTACTGTTTACATATTCAGCGGACTCCTTTACCTGAAGCTTTGCTGGGTAAGATTTGAGAAAAGAATTATAGCTGCACACTCAAGTGCCTACAGTTAAGGCTGTGTCAGCGTTTCTGTAAAGAATCTCATTTCTATCATAGCCATAAGCATTATTGCCGGTTAGAAGCTGGCATTTAATATCTTGATTTGGGAGTCAATTATTTTAAAGCTGCTTTAAAAAAATTTGTCCAAATGATTTGGAGCACTCACCCATGCGGGGTTACTTTCTAGGTACCCTTATAGTATACAGAATGGTGATTTAACAAACTAATTTCTATATTATTGACTTGATAACTAAATTAACAGGCAAAACCCTATAGTTTTCACTTGAACAATGGCTATAATTTAAGTTGTAATATGTTTCAATTATTTTAGATAATATTTTCTAAATTAACCTATTTTTTAACTGCCATAAGATTTTGTAACGTTATTTCATCATGAATATTTTTCATTGTGCCCAATTCAGTTGTTCTGGTCAGTGTTTTTGTAAGTCTTTATTTACTAACAAGCTATTTAAATTTTTTATTACTTGTGATATGACCAGTGGTGTTGACAACAACTTCATTCTTTATTTGACAACCCTGCTCAATAAAAAAGGGATTTAAAGCAATTTACCATATAGGTTTTAATATTATAGAAAGAATTTTCAGATATTACTGACTGAAAACTTCCATATTATTTTTAATTTATGAAAATCTAGATAAAATCTCTCAAACAAATATTTGGTTCATTATGCTGTGAGATCAGTATATAATAAGGAATTATGTTTCTTTGTAGAACTATCGTTAAAAATGAAGTTCCATTATTTAAATGCAAATGCTGTAGGAAATATTTTTCTTTTGC